ACTACCATTGATTTGGTACCTTCTTACTCGCAATATGTTAGTGGACGCACATACTTTCATTGGGAGAATTATGAGAATGAATATTTGACGGTACGGTAAATCCATTACTACAGCAGTTTCTGTGACTGTTTTAATGCAGTCGGCGTATTCGCTGCGTACGAAAAGTGGAGGCATTTGGGAAGTAGCCCGAGCGATAGCAGGTGCCAAGAAAAAGTTGTCGTGGGGTTTCGCTGGTGGGTTAGAAGAGAATTACCCAAACACAGAGCTTCAACTGGACCAGGAAGAGACAGCACAAAGTAGAGGAAGAGCTTGTGTAAATCCTTTGCAGCCTCTGGGCAAAAAGCGCCTTGCTGTCTTCGAATGGAAAGCACTTTCTGTCGTTAATCGTCTGTTACTAGTTTATCATTAATTCAACGACACAACCGACAGCCGTGCCATTTCCATTCCTCTTTCTTGACCGTTTCAGCAAATTTGCGGCCCTGACGTTCTTTTCGCCCCATAAGTCTTATTGATTTTCGTTAAAGAAGCATTTTGACAAAGCTTTGGCCACTTGAAGATTTAGCGGTGAGTTTTTAACGTCGCCACCTCGTCCCAAGCTTGCCACGCTTAAACTCTTTTATATTTTTGCGTGACTGTGTTTAATCATTACTGCTCAGCCCAGTTAAGACCTCACAGTTGAATCTGATTTTCATATGGCCAAATTTAAAAGCGAAGCTTTTCCAGGTTTTGTCAGATACGGATACAGTAAGGATTGATGGACAATATTATAAGCCAATGGACATCCATAAAGATCCATTTCATACGCTCTACGTTGTCGTAGTTGATCATCTGAACCCAAAAATACACTACGTAGAAGCAATTGGAAAATATACGGCACATATCACGTATGTGGAGGAATTTATTTATATTTATACCTTATCCCGCAACGGTAAGCTTGTTATTTTCAAAAGGAGCCGTGTGATTGGAAATTAGGTAATAATTGATTTAAAATAACTATGCCTAGTATGAGTGACAATAATGAATAAATGTAGAAACAGGAATATAATAAAAAAATGACAGTAATAAGCAAAGTCA